GTGTTCGAACACTGTATTTACTTTTCTTTGATGATTTATATATAATTTAACGGTGTTAATGGCTACCTTTATTTAAATTATATGATTTTTTTTTTTTTAAACAATCAAGATATTTTTTTTTAATGAATAAACGCGAGGGGCGCTTAATCGCGCGAGTACGGTAATTTGATCCATACGATAACTTTTGGTTATTGTCTGTGTCAAGGCCTATTGTAGATATTATTCTGGTTATTTAGATACAAAACTCAAGAAGTTGTGCCTCTGTGAATTAATTCATGTTGTGTTTCTTTTTTCAATGAGTATTCGATAATAGTAAACATAGATGTAATATACTTGACGTATAGTACTTGACAACATTATTATTTTATTTACGATCTAAATAAGGAACACCATCACATGAATAACCGCAGTGTTATTTTTCTTCTCCATCGTATTACTCTGGAATGGAACAGACGACCCTGATTTTTGAATTTAGCATCGCTGTGCCATAGATTCATGGTAGGATTGAGAAAATGAATTAATAAAAAGCTAAAATGTCAACAAATATATACAAAAATAAGATTTTCATGTAGTGAATTAATAAGTCAGAGAGATGTCTGAACGTTGGACATCATTTTAGGGTAGACGTCAGCCAGCCCACAGCCGCACACATACACATACACACATGACCAAGGGGAAAAACATAAGGTTAAGCGTAATTGGTCGCTAGAAAAGCTGGCTACATTCAGCTGCTTAATAATAATTGTTCAATAATTGCTTTACTTTAACTTGATTGATGAAACTAAATGGTTTCACAGCGAGCCAACAATAAAAATACAGCCGTTATTGATTTTATGCCAGTCAAATTAAATTGTAATTTTACGCCTTCAATAGTCATTATTAAAACACCAGTAATAAGCAATTAGAGAGCTGCCTATAGTACACTACCGGAAGGAAATTGTTGAGTGTACTATGCGCAGCTCTACTGAATGATTATTACTATATCAGTAATACGGGAATATAACTATCATAGGTTTACTTCTTATTACCTATCATATCATTAGCTAACCCTTTTCATGAATACTATTACATCGGTATGTCAACATGATGGCTTATGATTTGAACTTAAGTGTTATTAGATAGACCGCATTGTTGATATAAAAATTAAAATAATAAAAATTACAAAAAAAAATCAACTGACCATTTTCTTATCTGTTTTCATTTATTACATGAATCATCTTATGATTTCATAATTTCATTAGTGTATACTTCAATAGTAAACTTGATAAGTAACTCATCCACACTTTACACAATTGTTACAAATTAATCCTTTTTTTAATTTTTCATTTTGGTGGTCTCATAACATACTCAATGTGTTTATTCCTTTGTTATACAATGACCTTGGTGAATATAGCAATGTATTAATCTTAGGACGTCATTGATATATTAAGGCTTGTCTCCAACCTTTTTGCTTTTTCTTTGATAATTAAATTAAAACTTTACAACTAATCCATCCTTCCAACTCAGAAGTGAACAATAACCAAGGACATTTTCCGAGACCAAGTCTATACCTGACTTTCTTTATATACAACATGTTAATATTGAAAATGTTTTATTGATACGTTCGTCAAATCTCTCAAGTACAATTATATTTCATTAAACCGATGATTTTCAAAAACTTACAAATCGTAAAACTTCTCCCAACGTAATCATGCCTCCTTGCATTTCAATAAACTACGCTCTTTGTTTTCTGAGAGATTACAATACTCACACAGCTTTGTGGCGGGGAAGTTCCATATTGAGTTTGTAATTATAACTGTAATACTGAAATTAAAATATGCCTTTTGTATGCAGCATTGAATTCACCATTTTTTCAACACAAATCCCATTCAATTGAATTAATCTCTAGGTCAGTTTCCCACTATTTTGAACTTTGGTACCTTAAATTTGTGATTTCTAAATGGCAAATAAAATTCTCTAGCTTTGTGTATCTTTAAATTAATAGTGTCGTTCGTTTTATAACACTTTTTTCTACTCAAAGTAATACCATAAAATATTATATAAGAAACATAGTTTCTTATATTAGTAATCAGGGGCAATAATCAGGGGCGGATCTAGGTTAAAATTTAGGAAAGAGGGTCAAAATATTTCCCAAAGTCCCAAAAAGAAAGTGTGCTCCGGGAGTCCTCCCCGGGCAAATTTTGATTCTGATGGCGGTCAGGTAAATTTCTAATTGTTATTACAGTAAATAGGCCTGTGTGTATACATACAGAAACAAAAAATGAGTAGCTGTATTTCCCAAAATCCCAAAAAGAAAGTGGGCTCCGGGTCCTCCCCGGGAAAATTTTGACTCTGGTGGCGGTCAGGTAAATTTCTAATTCTTATTACAATAAATAGGCCTGTGTATATACATACAGAAACAAAAAATGAGTAGCTGCAAACGTATTCTTTTTTCCATGAATCGATGAACCCCAAAAAGAAACGTGTGGACCGGGGGTCCTTCCCCCGGAAAATTTTAATTCCTAAATGGCTGAAAATGAGCTTTCCCGGTTTCTGATGTGTCTTTTAGTGACTTTCAAGTTCTTCAAAATTCAAGATTTTCCCCCTCTTGAACCACCCTGGATCCGCCACTGATATCTGAGATACCGTATGCTACAAAAAATATATAATTTGTTCGGATCTCATACATAAATATGTAAAGTCTTGTTTGTGTAGATAGATTAATTTCAAAAACACCATTTATTGTGATGTGATATTGCTTTATGATAACAAGCTATACATACATTATCATTTTGAAAATGTAAGATGCATTAAAACAAAATGAAAACAATACAATTCTTAAACACCACGGTAAACTCTTCTCCAGACTTTAAAGTTCTACTATTACTTTTTATGTTAGATCTCTGCCTACCGTACGTATATTTTGA